TAATATTATAATATATAGTTAAATAAAATATTAAAATATTACATAAATACATACACTATAAATACATATAATACCTACCTACTTATATAATAAATGTTAAAATAAATGAATATACTACTTACATTAGAAACGTAGTTTAATGATTTTAAGATTAACTACTATACGTACATAATAAAACCCTTTATTCTCTTTATCTATTCCAAACAATTTAATCCAATCTTAATATTTCCTATCGAGTAGGTATAGGTATAAAATCATTACTAATCTCGTATTATAAATGTATTATAAAAGTATGTTTGTTTGTTTGTTTGTTACTTCTTAACGCTTTAACAACTTAACCAGTCGTTATGTAATTTACTATACATTATTTGGAATGTTGAAGAAATTCGGCTATTTTATATTCCAGTCACTAAACTCATCTTAGTAACACGGACCAAGTCGCGGGTAAAAGTCAATATAATATAATCTGAATCGTTTAAAAAGACTATCAACATGGCAGTTCCTTTTAATTGTAACAATATTTTATTCAAGTTGTCGTCGAGGGGTGCATTTCGAGTGAATCCAGTTTGCATTTTATAACAACAGTACTAGAATTTCAATTATACTAGTATTACTGACTTTTTCTATTCCGCTAGTTAGTTTTGCACTATTTTTACCACTTTCATGGAATCCGACAATATACATTTCATTATCCAGACTATAGAAAGCTATTTGTACATGAAGCAATAATATATATTACGAAGTAATAGTTCAACATACTATCTTGATATCAACTGTCCACTGCTGAACATAGGCCTTCCCCATAAGGGGGTTCTACCAATAGTTGCCACAATTGGCAGACGGATTGGCAACAGCAGTTGGACTTTAGAGATATTTCAAGAGGGACGCTGTTGCCGATCCCTCACCTCTTACGACATCCACGGGAAAGAAAGAGGTTGCCTATTCTATGCCGGGACTATACCGGCAATATATATAAATGTTCAGCTTAAATTAAATATGTATGTAATTCATAGCTCTCACTAGCCATTCGGGGATAAAGTCGTGACCAAAATATTATTGTAATTAATAAAGCAAACAATTAATATTCATCACCCGTATCCCTGTATAGCTACAATTTTCCCTAAGGGATTTTACACGTTTACTTTGTCAAACATTGGTCGAAATATTTCCATAGCTTATACGTATTTCTTGTAATATATATTCATTTCTGAATACAAATATTTATAAGTTACATATCAACATACAAAACCTAACTTAGAATCGGTTAAATTGATTATCATAATTTGTTGCCTAAAAACTAAAAATGCCGACATACAGTACATTAGTCGCATAATGTGTGAATAACCTGATTTAAAAGTGCATCTGTACGGTTATGTTGAACAAATTACAATAATATAATTCGATGCCTAAAAATTAAATATACCAACAGACAGTACATTAGTCGCATAATGTGTGAATAACCTAATTCAAAAGTGCATCTGCACGGTTATATTGTTAATGATGATTGTAATTCGTTGTCTAAAAACTATATATGCTGACAGACACTACATTAGTCGCATAATGTGTAAATAACCTAATTTAAGAGTGTATCTGCACGGTTATATTGATAGTGATGATTGTAATTAATTGTCTAAAAAATATATATGCTGACAGACATTGCATTAATCGCATAATGTGTGAATAACCTAATTTATATGGTTGTTTATTTATTTCCTCAGTTATAGTATTATTCCACTTTAAATGGGAACTTTTAAATTAAACATTTAAAATATATATATATATATATATATATATATATATATATATATATATATATAGTGTATGACGAATACAGAGTATATTGGTTTCATTTATTTATTTATCAATATAAATTAACATTATTATTCTATTAATATTATAAATGCGAAAGTTTGTATGGACAGATAGATGTTTGTTATTCTTTCACGCATAAACTACTAAATGAATTTAAGTAAAATTCGGTGCACGAGTAGGCTACATCCTAAGTAAGCACATGGAATACTTTATAATTCACGCGGGTAAAATCTCGGAATACAACAATAAATTAAAATAAGAAGCTTAAGTCATATTCCGGTAAGTAACGAGGGTGGCTTAAAAACTTGACACCAGAAGGCACCATCTCCACACGTGTAGTCTATAATAATATTATAAAGAAGAAAAGTTTGCTTGTTTGTAATGAATAAACTCACAAATCACCGATTTTAAAAATTATTTCACTAATAAAAAGCTACATTTTCAATGATAAATACAGACTTTATACTATTTTCGAAAATTCTAACTATAATATGTAATAAATATAAGAAATGTACAGGAATAAATATAGAATTAATGCAAAAATTACTCATCAAAAAAACTCGCAAGGAAACACAATGTAGGTCTAAATATGATAAAATATAAAGTATTATGTTTTTATTGTTCAAAAGCTATGTTTCATATTTAAAAATCAGTTTATATACTAACTTGTTGCCCAATATAAAGAAAAAATAATATATAAGTTATATTGCACCATCAAAACACTATATCCTGATATTTTCATAAAGCAAGGTGCATTTTTTCATTCCGAAATGTATATTAAACATTTTAATACTAGAAAATGGCAACATTGTTACGTAGACAGCGATATGGAAAGACATAAACTCAATGTATAAAACTATAAAGTCATCGTTGTAATGCACAATATTTTCGACCATCAAACGTAATGTTATCATTAAGTGCTATATTAAATGCAAAATCCTGTACTCATACTCGTATATACAGGGTGTCCCGTAAGTAGTGGACCAACGGGTTATGGGGGGTAGTGAGAGCTATTATCTAACTAAAATCTATAGTCCTAGGTCTTGTAGTTAGTAAGAAAATATCATCCATGTAATGCTAAATATAAAATTTTACTATATCTGTTTTTTTTTTTTATTTTATTGTTGTTGTATATAAAAGCTATTAACTATCCACTGCTGAACATAAGCCTTCCCTATAAAAGAAAGTTTTGCCAGTAGGGTCCATGCTTGATGAGTAGATTGGCAACCGTCGATAGTCTTAGGTTATTTTAAGAGGGACGCTGCTGCCCATCCCTCCAGCAATAAAAACAGATTTTATTGAGATATACTACATATGTAGACCACTTTTTTTTATACAACTTAGAATGGCAAACAAGCTGACGGCCCACCTGATGAAAAGTGGTAACCGTCGCCTATAGACATAAGCAGTACCATGGACATAACAGAGTATACTGTTTCGCCCCATGCGTTGCCATTCCTGAGGACTCAGATGTTATACATCTGTACCCAGTAAATTCACGCCATATCCCACCCTTCAAACCGAAACACAGCCATGCAAACACAATTGCTTCACGGTAGAAACACGAATGGGACAGAGGTACTCAAGCAATCGACTTTTGTACAAAGTCTCCCTCTGGTATAATTACGTTTTTATTTAATACATATATAAAAGTATTTTAAATGTAATATAAATACAACAAAATGTATAATATAAAACTAACCATGTCTTATTGCTTTGCTCGTATAAATTAGAATAAAATATATCTTATGTATTAAATTATTATAAGTACATACAAAAACTCAAAAGTATCTGTTTTCTAGAGTTTTCGACCTCGATTCAATTACTCTTTTTAACACTTTGATCTTTGATTTTGGGAAAGTGAGATTCAACTAAGTTTTATTTTTTTAAATGAATAGATTGACATCGATGTATATCATTTAAAGTGTCAATTCTTATATACTTAGTTTACTTTTTTTTTCAGAAAACCTTTCCTGTGTATTAATACTACACAACTATGTAGTGTTACTTTTTTTTAGAAAATAATTATTTCTTTAATTAATTATTTCTCTATATGCTTTTTATATGTTAGCATAAACATAAAAAAATCGATTTTCGTTAGTTTCATCTTTTATAATATCATTTTTTTCTTTATCTTAGCGTTCTCGAGTCGAATCAATTAAACAAATCGATTTTTTTGTCCTAGTTCGAAAAACGTGATTTTACGACAGCCGCCCAAAGATATTCCTATTTGAATATAAATGGGTAATAATATGAAAATATCTAAACGGGTTTGAAACATTGCGAAGTTTTAAACATTGTATAAATCTTTGACTCACAACTCATCTCGTTACCTTGTAATTCGGCCAGTTTTATCATCTGTTTTTCCTTTGAGTTATTTTTGTTAGAAATCCTTTTTTCCGCCGTCGAATACAATTCGTCAGAGTTTTATTCAAATATTAAATAATTCCATTTATGATAATTAGAATAATTATACAGAAGGTTAGCCAGGATTAATGGATACACGAGGCAACTATTATCAAGCAACTTTGAAAAGAAGAAAGTCCTCAACTATTCTGTTTTTTTTTGTGGCTACATCACCTAAACACAACGTTAAATGGATTTATTATGCTATTTACAATCAATGTAGGATTGTTATTTGTTAGCTTCTAATTATATTAATGAAGATTGACTAAGTAAAAAAACTGCCTATTGTGAAGCAAAATTTCTCACTTAAACACTAAATTCCACATTCTAAATTCAAATATTTTATCATAACCTTTTTAGTAATTTCATTAAACTTCCTTTATTTAGTTACTAGTAATCCAACTCAGTTTCGCACAAGTAGATAGAATTTTCGAAAATAATATATCACCTATATACTCGCTGATAATATAGCTTTCTCTAAGTGAATTTTTTTTAAAATCGATTGAGTAGTTTTTGACTTTGTCCTTTATAAATAATTAATCAAAAAATTCCTCTTTATAATATTAATATTAGAATAGATATATTATATTTAAAAATAAATATGTGTTTTTAAAATAATGTTTTCAATATAACGTGCCTACGAAACATCTCGATTTTCGATGGTATATTTGGTAACTCTATTTTACCACAAAGGTGGCAAGCAAGTCCGTCTGAACGGTAACTGTAATCTATAAACGTAACTTTTGTAAAATAACAAAAACAAAATATTTATAACTACTTACCGACAATTGGCTCCAGGTCGTAACCATCGGAAGCTATCACAGTGATGTTATGACCGTCCACAGACAACTCTATGGGACAATTCAGGAATTCCGCGTTTATTACTCGAAAACGATACTTGTAGCCCTGGAAATAAAATTGCTTTTGCTTAACAAGTACAATTATAGAAAAACATTTGAAAGAAAATTATTGCAATCGAGTCTACATTAAGTGAAATGGAATATGGAATAGGTATATATAGTGCTGGTTTTAAAAATACGTGCTAACTATATGAATATGTCTCTTTCTTTTCTTAAATAAAAAAAAATATTAGCGTTTATTGGTCAGTAGAATAAATCTGAATGAATTATTCAGTTCTATTAGTGAAACTGAACGAACTGAAACTTGTCGAAAATCTTTTTTGGATCATTCTTGTCTTTCTCTTTAATGAATTTTAAATTAACAACTGTGAATGTCAATTTAGAAGTATGTCGATCTACCTGTCTTTACAAAATAAGTTCCTTGCGTAGTAAAGAACGAGTTAATGTTAAAAGAAAAAACCACAATAGTCAGGGTTCACGTTAGTTTTTGCTCACGATTTATTTTGCGTGACTAAGATATTTTGATTACCCAGATAAAAAGTAACCCATGGCCTGCTCCATCATATACACACACACTCCGGAGTACGTCTGTCCTCGCGCACAGATCCCGCGATACTGACCGCTACTAGCATTTTTTATGTAGATACCCTCATGTATATACGCTCGAAATAATGTAAGTATTGCTATTAGATTATATAGACAGTGTCTCCATAGAAATGCTTCCAGAAAAGCGGGTCAACTTTTTCTTACAATTTTGCGTCATAAATAGTTATGAATGTTTCCTCCTATGCCTTGTATATTTATTTTATTTTATAATGTTTGCATCTTTTTAAAACTTAAATACTCATTTTATTTATTAAATAATTAAATATAGATACGATCAAGACACAAGTGTGCGTAAGTATATAGAACACTGATAAAAAAACGAGTTAATTTGACAATTAGCTGACAAAAAGTTGACCTGTTTTTGAGATTCGATCTATATAATCTAAGGTATTGCCATAAACTACACTACGTGTATTAAATTTGATGCCGATTGGTTGAGCAGTTAAAGCGTGAAGAGGTAAATAACAAACTCACTTTTTTATTTATAATATTTGAAAGAAAACAAGGATAAGGATGTGAACTCAACTTATCTATTCAGAAAGCTTTTTTGAATAAAAATCTAAAGAAATAAGTATTGTAATAATATATATATTTTCACAAGTACGTCCCGATAGGATACCCGGAAGCCATTTTCCGCTGAGACAGCCCGCAATATTCACAAATCTTTACGGTCACCTGAACACCATGAATACTAAATATACCAAGTCCTTCCTTATTCACAAATACATACAGGGTGAAATCAAAACCGTAAGCATCCTTTTAGAGGAATTTTCTATAAAAAAACAACTCTTTCACCATAGAAACACGCGTTGAAAAAAGGCAAAACAAATATATATATATATATATTATATATATATAATCCCTTCCATTTTCGTGGGTGTTGTAAGAGGTGACTAAGAGAACTTAACGGTTGAGGGATGGATAGCAACGTCCCTCTTAAACAATACCAAAAACTAACTGCGGTTGCCAACCGGCCTGCCAAGTATGGCAACTACAAGGGGGCTTTTGTAAATAAAAAAGCCTCCTTATTGGCAAACAAGCTGACGGCCCACCTGATGGAAAGTGGTAACCGTCGCCTATAGACATGAGCAGTACCATGGACATAACAGAGTATGGTATGGTATATTCTATATAATATGGTTAGATTCTTAGTTATATGTACGGCTAGCAACATCGATTCCACCTTGTGTATGTACGTTTAAAAAATTCATCGATGAATTTGCTATTCAGAACTGCCAGGCGCTGGGGACAGATATGGAATCTTTGTACATACTGCAAAACTGCAGTAATAATATTCTTTACTAACCAGCTTCAGAAATGAGATGTTGCCAAATGGACTATTTCTTTTTTTGTATTTTACAATACATCGTCACCTTACACAATTGTGTAAAAAATATGAATCGATTTGTATAATTCTTTTTAACATCGACAAAATTTACTTTATTTTTATTACACCAATACAAAGAAGGATACTCGTGAATAATGTTTGTGATATACGAGAATCGAACCCACGACTATCGGAACGTAAAGCGTTAGGTTAAGCCACTACATCACCAAGGTCGTCAGTTCTAATTGTAAATTTAAATCATCTTTATTCAAATAGACTGCTAATAATCTATTGCAGTGTTCAGTGTGTTGTTATCTACTAAGAAGAGCTCGCAAGGAACTCAACAACAACTCTTTAAAATCTCTGTTAACATTAATTAGTTTAACAATATAAATTAAGTCAATTGTACTTACTTGTTCGACATTAAATGTTGCCGCTCTCATATACAAAGGCTTCGTGGTGGTGGTGTTTTTAAAAACTTTAAATCTTCCAACGCCATTTATAAGTAACGTGGGTGGTTTGTTATCACCTTGCGAGTGATGGTGATCGGTGAACATGCCCACTGACAGCTCGTGTATCCAGTCGGTAACAATCATCACGTGTTCTGATCTAAAATATAAGTAAATAAATAAAAGTCATGTATAGAAAATCATATAGCAAAAAATGTATGGAAGCGCATCACTTCAGAACAGCCGCACCTATATGAAAAATTCTTTATATTTTGTATTTATAATTGCCGATACAAGGTTCTCATGAAAGAAAATCATTTAAACATTTCCAATCGTACGGAAAAGTGAAAAAAGTACATCTAAAATTGAGGCAGCAATTAGTTGAATAAATACACCGTTAAACAATTATACATAATAATAAGGTCAGATAGTAGAGAATACTTTTAGCAAGTCTGCCTTATAAACATACTTGCACTAAAAAAAATGATGAAACAATACATTGCTTCGCAAAAAAATAATTAACTTATATTTTACAAAACAAAACCGACATCAATTTTGGCAAAACCAGTTCGTTTAATCTAAAAACTGTAGACAGTAGTTTTATTCAACCGATTTTGATAAAATGTCTATAGGACTAACGGGTATATTTTCTTTTTTTTTTTGCGAACCGAAAATACTGCTTATTGCGAAGTAATATACGATACAATATCGTAATGTTCAAGAGAAGAACATATTCCTTTTTAAAAAAAACCAGCAGCACACCTGCAATGCCTCTGGTGTTGCGAGTACTTATGGGCGGCGGTAGTTACTTACTATCAAGTGAAATGCATTTTCGTTTGCCCCCTGTGGTATAGAAATAAAAAGTAGAATCTACTTCTTAACACGCTTTTCTGCATTATAAATTAAAATATTTTCAATCTAATGTGTCTACGATATATATTGTCGTTCAGCGGGTATGTATGATTGATCTGACAGATTTCATTTTTGCCATGCTACAAATAATTTTTCGAAATTCTTAACTATTCACTTTTCTAGCTCAATATTCTGTTATGGCTCACCTCTTTGAGTAATATTGGAAATTATTCACATCGCTCATTCAACAACAAGAATTCAATATCACATTTTATATTTTCATATTATAAAATGTAACAAAGATTTAATTTCCGGGAAACATTAATACCCTACATATCTCTCCCCCTGTTTACCATTCAGTGTATTATTAAAAAAATATATAATAAAATTGCATTATAGAAACCGAAAAAGAAGAGGTTCTATTGAAATGCACGAAAATATACAAGTATATACAATATAAACAGAAAAATGTTTGAATTTCTTGTATATTAAAATCTCTTTTTTTTATGCAACTTAATTTTTTTCTATGCAACTTAGAAAGACAAACAATCTGACAGCCCACCAAATAGAAAGTGGTAACCGTCGCCTATAGACATGAGCAGTACCATGGATATAACAGAGTACACTGTTTCGCCCATGATACCCCTCATGTGTTGCCATTTCTGAGCACTTAGCTGTTATTCCTCTGTACCCTATAAATTCACTTCCATATCCCACCCTTCAAAACGAAACACAGCCATGCAAATACAACTGCTTCACAGTAAATACCTATATTATCTTCATTAAGACCCTTTATAGATATTATTCGCTTTAGAAGTATCACAGTTTTTGTCAGTTATAGTATTCGTCAAAGAAAACATTTCTATTTTCAACCGAATTCAAAATGGAGTTTCTCAATTAGATTGTATTTTTTTGTTGGTTACCTCATAACTCCGTTAGTTATAAACCGATTTGGAAAGTTCTTTTTTGATTGAAAGATTGGTTCTATATAAATTATATCAAACAGGTTCTTTAATTTTAAAATTAAAATAACTAATTTTGCCACAACTGATGTCTATATTTTTTTCAAAGCACAATTTTAAATTACTTAAACCCTTACTTGAACCAAATAAACATGGGTTGAAGAACGACAAAAAGTATTGAGCCTCTCATACAAGTACGGCTGAAAAGAATCAAGACTTTTTGTCGTTTTATATTATCAATTCATGAATTTTTATAGTATGGATAAACTCTTAGTTAAAAAAAAAATATATGGCAAAGCAAAAAATATTAACATTCGAATTCAAAATAAAACAAAATAACTAAATAATTGTCAGAAACGACAAACATAGTAACTTCATAAAATTTCCGTTATACGTATACCATACATAAACAAAATAAATAAGTATTTATTAATATTAGTTTCTAGATATCTATGTTTCTTGCCATCAGGTTGCCGTTAGCTTGTTTGCCATTCTAAGTATCATAAAAACATTATTATGATTAAAAAAAATTTATGATTTTTTGATTTATATATTATACAATTATATAAATAAAGGTAAAAATACTTCAATGTTTTACCATCTCACCTCTCATAGTCATACAAATTGCCATGGGGATCTTGTGACTTGGGTTTCCTCACTATGAAAGCCCCAGCCGCGCCGTCAGCCCGTTGCATACCTGAGTGCGAGTGCCAAAAGTGTGTACCCGCATGGGATGCGTTGAACTGATATCTGTAAAGAAATAATGTTGTCATAAAATAATATACTATATAGATTCATACCATTAAAAATAACAAATTCAGTCGTGATGAAATTATATATATCAACTAGTATTTTTACTATTATAATTTTAAAATTAGCTTTTAGCCCTCTACTTACGCGTGGAATTCAAAAGTAGGAATATCAATTAAACAGACAAATTCTAAACGACGTATCAAGATAAGACCTATACCATATGTTAGGTTACAACTTTAAACACAATTGCAAAAACTGCATTCAATTTGGTGCAATAATTTCTGTATGTTGCCGGAACAAACGTATAAACAGATAGAGACAAAATTCTCCTTTTGCTCTTACTAAGACACCTATTATTAATATTTCTTAGATATTTATTTATTTATTCATTAGTACAAATATGTGTACATGGCGGACTTAATCCTAAAAGCATTCTCTCCCAGTCAACCATAGGGAAGTGTCAGAATACTCGAATGCGGTACTACTAATTATTGATATACATACATACTAAAATTACATATATAAACGAATAAATATATATTAATAATAAATATATTTACACATATATGATATATACTATATTATACACGAATTTGGGAATAATATAAAGCACTTACTGCTCGGATAAAGACAAAAAGTGAGCGTGAACGCTTTTTTTGAAAGACGGTTTAGTCGGTAGTCTGTTAATGGCATCAGGAAGCGCGTTCCAGAGTCGTGAAGAATGTAGGAGAAAAGAGTTTGAAGCGTAACCAGTACGGTGAGAGGGAAAAGATAATTGGAGAGTATTATTGGAACGAAGGTTACGTTCGTGAGTTTCAAAAAGATATCTTCATTATACAGACATATACTAGTTACAATTTTATTATATTAATAATATGAATAGGGGGGAAAGGGATTGTTAGCAAAAGAGTTTGATAGCCCTATTGCTAGCAATATGCCCCATTAGGTCGACCTCCGGTTGGTTCCCCCTGGAAACCATCGTGAACAATTCTTGTTGAATTCGTCACGATGGGCTAACTGACCTGCTTCATCTTCACCTATAATCCTTCACTGGTGCCTTGCCGGTGTATACCGAAAGCGCGAGTGGGGTTACCATTCCATTATCACCCATTAAAAAAATATAAATAAGTACTTACCTATTATATTACAAAAACTAATCTGTACCATATAGCGTGCAAATAAATATAAATAAATAAATAAATAAATAAGTGAATAAAACGCATCGACAGGCAACGATATGAGTCATAAAAATTATTAGTGTTTACTCATGACATAATCCGCATGACCCGGATATGTTGATTAACCGGAATAAAAAGTAGCCTACATCCTTCTCCATTCCAAATAGGTACTACGCCTTTATCATTGTGACAATTGGGACATTCAGAGGTAACAAACAAACTCACATTCCAGTTTAAAACATTAACATAAGACTAAGTAGGTAGAAGTGACACTCCCACCAATTCAATAGTAATACTCCATTCATCGTTCGAGGCGGTTATGCGCCATTTAGAGAGCATATATTTTTATGATATTTATTTATGTAGTAAGGATTTTGCAAGCAATATAGAGTTTGTTATTCACCAGAGGAAGACTTTGTACAAAAGTCGATTGCTAGGGTACCTCTGTCCCATTCGTGTTTCAACCGTGAAGCAGTTGTGTTTGCATGGCTGTGTTTCGGTTTGAAGGGTGGGATATGGCGTGAATTTACTGGGTACAGAGGAATAACACCTGAGTCCTCAGGAATAGCAACGCATAGGACGAAACAGTATACTCCGTTATGTCCATGGTACTGCTCATGTCTATAGGCGACGGTTACTACTTTCCATTAGGTGGGCCGTCAGCTTGTTTGCCATTCTAAGTTGTATAAAAAAAAACATATTATAATAAACAATTATAACAAAAAAAAATAATTAAAAAATATATGCTTACAATTATAATTAAAGTGTTATAATTCAAATAACAAATAATAAATTAGAAACATAAAATACATTGTTTTATTACCACCGGTATTGCTTGTGAAGTTTTCAATAAGTCATTAAAGTTTCAATCTGGAGTTTAACAAGTTATCGGCATTCGAAACGATTGGGGATTGATTTGTTGAACCACTGTAAATTACTACAAGTTCAGAGTTCATGAAACCTTACAAATAATGTTAACAGTTAATTTACAATATACAAATTTAACGTTTAAAATTACAGTTAAGAATAATTGTTAACTAAATCTATGCTACAATAACTAATAATATATTACGTTAGATACTTAAAATTGTAACTTCATGAGGTCTATACATAGAAGATATTTAAAAAATAAAAATAAGAGATTTTAATAAAACCGATAGAAGCCAAAACGATATTTTTTATTTTTTTTCCACTTTTAGAAAAAAATTGTCTGTTTGTATGTTTGTTGTAACATCACGCTAAAACTGCTGCATAATTTTTTTATTTATTTTATTAATTAATTTATACTTAATCAAAGGTAGCACTTATAATTACTACAATGAGTTAAAATAACTTATAGTGTATACCAATATGCTTACAGAACAAACAAGGTAATATTAGATCTGACTTAATATTAGGTACTTAGGGTATTTATTACTATATTTAGCACTATCATACCTACTTGTACAACAATTAGTCCATTACCTTAAGGTTGTCTTGAAAAGATTGCTCTCAGCAATAAGACCGCCTTACTGTACTTATACAATTGTATCGTTGAGTTTGTAAATTGCCTTGCTTATTTCTTATATTGTATAATGCAAATAAAGTATACTCATTCATTCATTCATTCAATATTTATAAACATATCCAAATAAAAATAGAACAAGATTGTATAATTGAAATGAATTTAAATTGCAAGTTTATATAAATTTCAATAATTAATTGAATGTGTTTTTCTATCCTTATCTAATCAAGTAACCAGTGATATGAATTCTACGAAATAACAACTAGTTCAGATAAATATTAATAAGGTCATGCCTACCTGAATGTACTCTCAGGCAATATAGGACACTGTGTCACGTATGGTGTGCCATCCATATAGGGCGATCCTTTCTGATGCTGCCCATGCCAGTGGACTGTGGTGCCTTCTGTCATCAAATCATTCTCCACGTCGACAATAATCCGGTCGTACTGACAGACCTAGAAATAAATATTTACTATATAGCTCAATATATATTAATATGTATACCTATAGATTCTTTTATGAATGAAAATGGTATAATAAATAAATGGTAAATAATGATATCAGTGAGGGACGATAGCTGAGGATGAAGTAGGTCATTTGCCTCATCGTAATAACGTACCAAAAGGAAACTTTATACAAAAATCATTTGCTTGGCTATCTCTGTCCCATTCGTGTCTCTACCTTGAAGCACTTGTATTTACATGACTGTATTTCGGTTTGAAGGGTGGGATATGGCAGTGAATGTACAGGGTACAGAGGCACAATACCTTAGTCCTTAGGAATGGCAACGTATGGGCGAAACAGTATACTCTATTATGTCCATGATACTGTTTATGTCTATAGCCGACGGTTACCACTTTCCATCAGGTGGGCCGTCAGCTTTTTTCCATTGTAAGTTGCATAAAAAAATTAGTTTATCCAAAAATTACCACGATATATATACCTACAGTTATAGCACAATTTTTATACTGGACCAGTATTATTTTAATAAAACTTAATATAAATGTAACTAAGTTGTTTTTTTATAGATGGCTGTAATACTATACATGTGTATTAGTGGTGAGATCTTAATAAAATAATTTCATTATATAAATTATTAGATAAAAAAGCCTATGTTAATCTCTGTATGCATGTATATGTTAATACGAATCCTATTTCCTACATGACAGGTTCAGCCTAGTGTAGGAATCAATGATAAATTCTGTGCTTATTCAAACATACTTTGTTAAATAAATATATCTTTATTTTTCTCAGTAACCTATTAGTAATCAGTAATATATCAATGCGTTGCTTTTGAGTAAAACTATTACTGAGCCTATTTGGGTCACTGTGACACGCATGGCAAAAACATATTTTCGTATTTTATCATTTTTTTTTATATTAAAAAAAAAGTGTAAATAATTTGATTGTATGAACTAATTTGTTAAATTACGTATGTCATAAATGGCTCAAATAAAGTGTTTATCTATCTCTCTAGTAACCCTAATTGCAAGCTCTGAGTTTAGAAAACCATAATCTTCTGAATGGAATATATAAAATATGTTTCTTATTAATACGAACAAAACGATAGAAATTTTTGTAATTTTTATTTACACTAAGATTTTCATTGTAATTTTTAGACCAAAAAAAGATCTATCTATATCATCATTCATCATAATTAGCCTACTGTAGCCCATAAGCCACTGCTGGACATAGGCCTCTCCCAAAGTACGTCACTGAGCACGATCTGACTATATAATTAATGTAATTATTAGCAAATTACTCGATGTTGGAAAGTGAAACATCAAAATAATTAAAACAGAATGCAATACAAACGAGGATGGAATGAAAATGTTTAAAGTGGTAAAAATCTCGTTACAAATTCTCACTTTGAGGCAAAATGAACGCGTAAAGTTGAGTAAATACGATACGGGATTGTGAGCTTTTATTTTCATGAACCGGGTTAAATTTAAAAACATTTTAAAATGCATACCCAGCGTTTCGGTCTCATCAAAAATTGTGTAATTTTTTTTTTATAATACTTAAAATGGAAAACAAGCTGACTGACAGATTATTCTTCGCGTACGTGGATTTAATGAGATGCTGCATCTGAATATAACTGCTTAAGTTTAGGTTAGGTTTACTTTTTCCTCAAATTTCTTAATAAAAACTATTCCTTCAAATTTCTTATTAATACTATTAATTCATCCCAGAAAATTTTCAGTTCTAAATTTCTACAAGTGTAAAAAAATTAAGAAGTAATAAAAACAGTACTCGTATTATAGACTAGCGACCCGCCCTGGCTTTGCATAGTAGATAGATAAAAGATCTGTATTTTTTTTAATAAAATACAACTCATGTTACTTACTGACAATGCAGATAGCTGTCTATAGATGGCAGAATTTTTAAAATCGGTTAAATATTTTTTGAGTTTATTTTTTAGTACTAGTTTAGTACTAAATGGTCCTTCTTCTATCTAGTGTTATTCATAAATTTCTTAATAATATTATAAATATGAAAATGAGCTTTTTTATTTGTTTGTTACCTTACCTTATATCACTATAACAGTTTAACCAATCACTATGAAATTTGGTATACACGTACTATATATTGGATGGAAAAGAATAGGGGCTATCTATATTGTTTAGTAAATATATACCGGTCACGCAGACGAAGTCGCGGGTAAAAGCTAGTATTCTCTAAATAGAATAATTGGTACATAAAATACTTCAAGCGTAAAATGGGAAAATTTGCATGTTGAATTAATTAATATTAATCAGTAACACAAATTATTGGATGAACAATATTGCGATAATGCATAATAAAAGGGAGCATACCTCTATAGCTGGTCCCGGCATTTTTCTATTAATGACGTTCAATGGTCTATTCATTCCGTCAGCCGGAATACAGTCTTGCCTCGAACAATCAGTTAAATTGTATGGACAATCAAAACAAGCCTTGCTCATGGTCTGGTACCATTCTAAATGGAAATGATAGTAACAAATCATTGCTTTTCCACCCTCCCTACAATCTCTATGGCAAGGATGATCACCGCCTATCAATTCACCAGTGACTTCATCATATTGCACATGTGCTCTGATTTCGGCTCGCTTACTAGATTTTCTTTCAACTACTGCTTTTGCTATATGCCTAGGAATACTTCTATCTATTGCGGATTCTCCATCGTAAATTATTTTATTAATAGTACCATTAAAATTTATTGGCATTATTACTCTGGAAGCACTTTCTGGCCTGACTTGTTCGGTTAGTACTTTAACGTCATGGATTTCAGGAGAATCGTTTACTTCATCTTGGGTTATCGCAATATCGTCCAGACTGGAATTATTTTCTCTAGATTGTCTATTGTTTAAATTAGCTTGAGTGAAGTTATTTTCAAGTGTTGTAAGTTCTAGGGGATCATCTGTTGTTGTAACTACGTCAGTCTGTGTGTTTATGCCTGTAATACCTGTAACAAGAAATATACAATGTAAATTGCAATACCATGTGCTCGTTATGTGATTAAATTTAAAGACTTATTTGAACAAATAATTAAATAATATTACAATCACACCAAATTATTAAACATAACTTTATTTGCTAGTATTATAAATGTGAAAGATTGTTTCGATTATTTGTTTGCTACATCTTTACATCAACCAATCCTTACATGACATTTTTTTTTTATTTAGTACATAGATATTACAAAAGTCGTTTGCTTGGGCATCTCTGTACCATTCGTGTTTCTACCGTGAAGAAGTTGTGTTTCAGTTTAAAGGGTGGGATATGACAGTGAATTTACAATGTACAGAAGAATAACACCTGAGTCCTCAGGAATGGCAACGCATGGAGGGTATCATGGGCGAAACAGTGTAGGTACTCTGTTATGTCCATGGTGCTGCTCATGCCTATAGGCGACGGTTGCCGTTTTCCATCAGGTGGACCACCAGCTTGTTTACTATTCTAAATTGCATAAAAAAAAATATATGCTTATACATAACACAGATACGGCATAAACTACTATTGCATAGTTTTCCCATGTGTCTAAAAAATCGTCGGTAGGTATCTATTGTTTAAATGCACTTACTTACGGTTTTATTTATAAGTATATAATATAAATACTCTCCAATACACAGTTTGCCACTTGTCATGATAAGGATATCCTTGTCATATAACAATCAAATACCATTCCAAATACATGTTACCGTGATTCAAGCTACGTTTAAATGATATATCTGACAGTACAACAACTCATGATACCCCTACCAACAGGTAAACATATTGAGTTGTCAATAGACATACTGAGTACCGTAATTACGTGTGAAATGATATGTCATAATTTGGAATAATAATTTAGTAACTATGATAGTTTTCCATGCAAATTACGTGAGCTTTTATTCCGGTCTATCAGTATGATTATTTATTTACTGGTACATCGATAGTGTACCAAATAGTTTATAACAATACAACACTTAATATAAACGTGGTATTATATGCACACCAGTTTAAGATGTACACAGTATTAACTATATAATAATCATAATATTTATAAATATGTATTTACTTAAACTATTTGTATTTATTACAAAAATACTCTAAAGAAAGAATATATTTAGACTCTGTGACCGCTTTTAATGTGGTTTAATATTTTATACTTGAAGGTAAACTGTGAATGATGGAAAATATCTAGGTCATTCTAGCAATTCTAGTCACGTGACATATGGAGATCGAGCTGACAAGATATATTGCTAGCATTAGGGACTAGCTTTTGCATTACTAAAAATTCCTATCCACCCCATAGCTAGGTATTACAATAATAAATCAAAGAATAGAAATCGAGAATTTAAAATAGATGAAATACCCATATCGTATTTATAAAGAACTTCAGTGGACGTTAAAAGTTGCTAATTATGCCAATTATTAGCTTAAATTGAAAATGTTTAAGAATTCCAAAACGCCGCTCAGGGTCCAACTCATTTAAATTGCTAAGCACAAATCACGTGCCTGATTAAATCCTCTTTGTAGGAAAGGTCTATAAAAGTAATGAGAAATCACTTAGTGTCAGTCTAATAAGGATTTTCAGGAATTCTAGGTTACCTACTCGCCCTTTTTAATCTACCAAATGTAGGGTGACTGTATTATATATACTAATTCTATTATTGTTTCAACAGTAATAACAGATTTGTTGTTACCAGGAAATCTTTGTAAAATAATTTACTGTATGAGAATACTGTTGCCGCGTTTCTAAACGAAACATAGCCATGAAAACACAACTGCTTCACGGTAGATACACGAATAGGACAGAGGTGCCCAAGCAAAGGACTTTATTTATTTATTTTATTTTATTTATTACATAGATATCCCCCAGAGGGACACAAAGTCTCCCTCTGGTAAGCTTACAAGATACGAAAGCATAATTAATAAAGGTATAAATATACAGGCATTCTGAAAGTAATAGCCAAGAAATATAACTTGCCTATAATTAAGCATTTCGTTCAGATGCTAATCTAGATGACTGGGTCACATCTGAGTGAATTGTATGTTCACTTTTTACTAACATAATTTATAAGGAAATTTGTTACTAACAAAATGGACCAAATTGTAGTTTAAAAAACAAATTATTATCTATACTTATAATCTGTAGAAAGGTCAGTTCTGTACATGTACCAAGTTTCGTTCAAATCCGTCGAGTAGTTTTTGATTCTATAACTAACATACAGACAGACAAAAATTTTACAGATTGCATTTTGGGCATCAGTATCGATCACTAATCACCCCCTAATAGTTATTTTGGAAATTTATTTCATATACAGTACTAGTGTTCTTTAGCTATCCTATAACTATATCCTCTTTCACTGTATTGGGTTTACTGGAAGAGATCTCTTTCAGAGATAAGTCTATTTTTGCTCACGCTAATTATAAATGTCTTAACTAAATGTAATTTACTAATGCAATTAAGAATATATAATTTACGACAGATAATACTTTCCATTAAGTAAGGCATCAGCTTGTTTCATATCAATATTTCATTAATGAAAAAAAAATAGATTTGTCATTTGCAATCAAATCAAAAACAATATTTTGATTTGACAAGTTATCGGTACTGTATATTTTTATACCAGATCACAACATTTCACAGAACTTTATTTTTATAACTGTTTCCTTCTTACTAAGATAATCTACCAACTTGTATCTCGACTTCCAACTACGAGATGGGATGCAATCATATTTAAGGCTATTGACCGTAACCGTAACCGTCTTTTTTTTATACAACTTAGAATGGCAAACAAGCTGACGGCCCACCTGATGGAAAGTGGTAACCGACGCCTATACACATGAGCATAACAGAGTATACTGTTTCGCCCATGATACCTCCCATGCGTTGCCATTCCTGAGGACTCAGGTGTTATTCCTCTGTACCCAGTAAATTTACGCCATATACCACACTTCAAATCGAAACACAGCCATGCAAACACAACTGCTTCACGGTTGAAACACGAATAGGACAGGGGCACCCAAGAGGTACACTTCATAATTGGTAATAAATTGATATTGACAATCTCATTCGGTCTGGACTTTCTTATACTATTTTTGGAAGGACTATTCCCTGCTAGTAGCAAGAAGCTCCTATTCTATTTTTCTTAATGATTGATAATGTAATAGTATCCCCGCTTGCGCTGTCAGTATACGCTGGCACCAGTGAGGGATGACAGGAGACCATAAAGTCAGGTCAGTTAACCCATCGTGACGAATTTACCAGGAATTTATCACTATGGTTTTCAGTGGACATCACATGGAGATCGATCCAACATAGTACATTACTAGTAATAGAATCACTAGTCGCCTAACACTTTCTCGGTTCTGTTCCATGTAATCCTACTCCGTCACCTGCTAATAAGGCAAGCTAGGGAATATTATCATCATCATCCATAATCAATTACTAATATTCCACTGTTGAACATAGTCCTCCACTGGGGGGGAAGGTATTGTTAGTAATGGAGACTAAGAGCTCCATTTGCTAGCAATATATCCAACCAGGTCGACCTCCCCGTGGTCCCCCCTGGAAACCATCGTGCTGAATTCCAAGAGTATTCGTCACGATGGGCTAACTGACCTGCCTTTTTTTCATTCTCATCTGTCATCCTTCGCTGGTGCCCCGCCAGCGTATGCCGTTAGCGCAGGCGGAGTTACCATTCCATTATCATCCATTAAAAAAAAACATAGTCCTCCACTATGGGAAGAAAAGGTATTGCTAATAATGGGGTCTTATAAGCCCATTGCTGGCAATAACTGCCACTCTATAAAGTCGGCCTCCACACGATTCCCCCTGAAAATCATTGGGGTTGATTCTTGAAAATTCGTTCTAATGAACTAACTGACCAGTTTTCATTCTGACTTATCATCTTTAACCGGTGCCCCGATAGTGTATAACGATGACAAAGGCAAGGTTACCATTCCATTTTCATCCATTAAAAAATCCTCCACCATGACATTGCCATAAGGAATTGTCCTAACCTACCTGCACCCATCAACTCTAAGCATCACTTTCGACAAAAACTTTTCCACAATTATAGATCTTCCTATAAATAATCCTGTTATATGAAACTAGGTGATTCACTTGGTTTCGCCCATGATGTCATGATGTTGAATAACTTAAAAGCTTGATAAAGGAATGAAGACATTAGTGCACACACAAATATACAAACATTTTTTTTTCTGCTTTATTATATTAGTATAGATAAAAAAATATTTTCCTTGTCAGGAAAAAATGTGAATATCTCTTCATTCCCACAAGCAAAATAAATTTGTCAAGATCATCGAACATCGTTTGTCAAGATGGACAAATTGTGTTCGTGGTCTCTGTTGATTCTACGTACTCTGTAAAGGATTTGTTGAAGTATAAATACAAGCAAAATAATATAGTAAAAAAATCAAACAAAACAGAAATCGGTCAGTTGCGAGTTGAGCTCACACATCGAGGGTTCCGTAAGAAATAAATGTACCTTAACTGCTTTTCTTGTACAAAATAGATACCTAATAGTTATTATTATTGATATTTCAATTGTAATTTCTTATTGAAAGCTATAATTTTGGTTAAAAATTGGACCACACAGCTAAGTTTGTTTTGGAAGTGTCTTAATAATTAGTCAAAAACGGCGCTAGTTAGACATATTGTTTTATTTTTTCTATAATATTCATTATAATCTCATATATATCATACATACATTTCATCATCATCATCATATCAGCCTTTAACTATCCACTGCTGAATATAAGCCTCCCACTTGGGGTGTTTTGCGAGTAGTTGCCTAGCTAGGCAGGCAGATTGGCAACTGCAGTCAGGCTTCAAAGATGTTTTAAGAGAGACGCTACTACCCATCCCTCGATCTCCCACTTACGACACCCACGGAATAGAAAGGAATGGCCTATTCTATGCCGGGACCACACGGCCTATACCTTTATATGTAC